GATGCGATTAATCGAGATTAATCGTTTGACAGCACTAATATATATTCTATATGTATACAGTATTTGCATACTGAACAACTCACACATCACATATGGGTATTGATTTAATATGATTTTCTATATGTGAAATACTGTATTAAGTATGAGAAATATCATAGAACACAAGGAATTCCAATGATGATTTTCTATTGATAGGGAAGACCTGGGTTGGAATATTAATTAGATTATACAAGAACATGCACATCTGCATGTATCTCATTGCAAACCCCTGTTTTTTTTTGTTTTCAGCACCTCTAAGTCTCGTATCAGCAAATTGTCAATAACCTGACCAAGGGAGGTTTTCGTACAGCATTTTTTCACTGTGTGAACACTGCTTTACTACTGATCTCATGGTAACTCATACAGTAATAATCTCCTGCATCTTCAAGCTGGGCATCGTTTATGTTCAGGCTGAAATCAAGACCATTTCCTCCAGAGTGAAAACTGCCTCCACCGCTCATTCTAGATGGAGCACTTGAAGGCTTCATTGTTGTGAAATATATAAGGAGTTTAGGGGGTTCATCTGGCCTCTGAAGATACCAGAAGATATAGTAATCTTTGGATAATGAGCCCTGTGGATACCTATAAACTACAGTGAGTCACAACAACCTGCCCAAAAGAACCTGTGAGAAAGGAAATTAAAACAATCATCAGTGCATGAGAAAAAAAAAAAGGTTTAGTTTGATTTGAAAATTAAGCTACCTTGGATGCAGTAAAATGCCCAGATGAAGAGAATCATATTGGCTTGTGTTTTAGAGCGGACAGTTCTTGGACCTTTTCAAAGTGTTCACAGGACTATAAACACTCAGAGCATTGAGGCATGAGCTGCCAATGCAAAACAACATTACAGTGGAAAAACCCTTCCTGAACTGAAATATCTTCTCACTCATATGATGATGGGCACTGTATATGAATATTTTAATTATGAGTTCACAAAAGTTTAACTTTAAATTGTAAGCTCTCAAAATAGTCTGGAAGTGGCAGTGAATCCTGTGGTAGATTTTCAGTGGGGGAACAAAATTGTTTTAAGTAAGTGCAGAATGAAATACATTAGATAGATTAATTAACATAAATAATATTAGACTGTACAGGTGGACCTAAATGCATTAGATAGCATAGAGTGTAGAGAATACTGTTTTTTGTTTGTTTGTTTGTTTTAGTTAGAACTGTATTGGTACTGCTTTAAGTAATACAGGATTGTAAATTGCTCTATAAAATCCATATAAATTATAAAATATGAATGAAAAGACAATAAAACTAAATGCTGAATCAAAATATAAATTTACATGAAAGTGATTGATGTTGTTTAGTTCTTTATCAGGTAGTGTTTGTTTTAGCATTGCTGTTAGTAAAGGAATGACATAGTACTTAATTTTTTTTTTTTTTACTATACATTTGGAATATTATGAAATTTAAACTTGTTTAATTATGCAGATGTATCTTATTTAGCTATCTGCTATTAGTTAGGAGTAAAAGAGCAAACTGGTTAGTGTCAGTGTCATTAGTGCAGGAGGTTTTTGTACAGCTGTTGATTGGGTTTGTATCACTGTGGTGGACTTTCGGTGGAGGCACCCGACTCTCAGTTGGAAGTAAGTAAATCTCTTTCTATTTTGAAAATGAAAATTGAATGAAAAGAACAAAAAGGGATTTTTTTTTAAAATTATCATTATATCTTAAATTAATATAACAAATATAAGAATAAATTATCTGAAATTTTCCTTGTGTGATATTACCAAATCTATGTGCACCTTTCTTATTTTTCCTCCAGACTATTTTAAAACAATAACCTCACTGTTTTAATCACTTTATTACCTTTGTAAAAAATTATTGTTGTTTTAACTTAAAAAAAGTAAGAATCCCGGTTGCCTTCAAATTTTGAGTTCATTGAAACTAAATTTTGAGTTAATATAAGAAAAAGGAACTAATCAACAGAAATTTGAACAACAATCTGAACATCATTATCTAAGCTGATTTCACAAAACAAAGTTGTTATAACAAATCATTAAAATAATGTTTTACTGTGTTGAGCGTTTATCCGTCAGAATGGTAAATCATATTTGACAAAGAATAAATGCTTGTTTATTTTTAAATTGATTTAGCATGAGATAGAATTCTAACTTGTGCATTAGTGCAATCTGTCTCTACAAATATATTTAACAGAGAGGTAAAAAAATTAATTTAAATGTTTTTTTTTTAAATCATTGTTGATAAAAAAAATTTTTTATGAATGTCACAGACAGAAATGTCTGGGTTCAAGTTTATTTTTCAATTACACTCCATGGTTGAGTTAGAAACATATCAAACAGCTTAACTGTAAATAACAAATTGTACATTTTTAACAGAAAATATTTGTATAATAATTTGAACAAAGGACAATAGAAACCTAAAAAATTTGAAGATCTATAATATACCATCATCAACAATTAATAAATAGTGTTAAATCTACATGTATAGGCACATGTGAAATTGTTGATAATGTGTTTTTATGGGCTGCTGCACTTCAGATCTGCTTGATTAACTCTGAATCTCTTAAAGGGAAGTGAAAGACACTCAGAAAGACTGATAGAGCTGTTTTTCAGAAGAATGAAACATCACAGTTTCCATCTGTGTCTCTCTTTAGCTGCGGCTCGTCCCGCTCTCACAGTGCTGCCTCCCTCCAGAGACGAGCTGCAGCAGGGTAAGGCTACAGTGCTGTGTGTGGCCAGTAAGGGATTCCCCTCTGACTGGAAGCTGAGCTGGAAGGTGGACGGCAGCAGCAGGAGCTCTGGTGTCAATCTGAGTCCCAGTCAGCTGCAGAAGGATGGACTGTACAGCTGGAGCAGCAGCCTGAGCCTCACTGAGAGTGAGTGGAGCAGAGCAACAACCGTCAGCTGTGACGCCACGCACCCGTCCCACAATGCAGTCACCAAGAGCCTCGACACACAGCAGTGTGATGAATGAAATACACACACATGCTGTTAGTATATTGCTCATATATTCTTATCTGTTGTAATTCTACAACTGCAATGCTATTAATGTTTTGTTGATTATTTGATATTTTACTGCTGCCAAATAAAAGCATTTTGACTTAAATATGGCGCTGACTTCTTAATGTGACATTAAACATAAAAATAAATAAATAAATAAAAAGAGATATTTATGTTAACATGGCATCTTAATCATTATTTTAGATACATATAATAAGGTTGTATGATGTTGTTTCACTGTGTGAACACTGGACCATCATTATACCCCATACAGTAATATTTTCCTGTGTCCTCAAGCTGGGGTACTTGTATGTTAAGCGTAAATTCATATCCAGAGTAAGTTCCACTGAACCGGTTTGAAACTCTAGATGCAAGGCTACTTGCATAGTAAATCAGGAGTTTAGGATTTTTTCCAGGTTGTAGCAGATATCAACTCATGGAATAATGCTAGAAGATGCAGTGCAGCTGATAGAAGCAGATTCTCCTGCTTTACCAGGTCTCTTGATGAGACAATGAGGGAGTAAACAGTTACATTTAAATACAATTGATAAGATTGTACATCCTTCAGAAGAACATTTGTCATTAAAAATTAACGTGTCCAAAGTTTTACAAAATAAACTAGAAAAATAGAAATAATGTAGAAAAATTAGTTTTAACCTTGTGCAAGCAGACCCAGTGAAGCCAGAATTAGTAAAACAGACATGATTGTGTTGTGTGTCAGTGACTCTGGCAGGACTGAACACACACTGATCATCAGAGTTTTGTGAGTGAAGCCGTGAACATGCAAAACACTCTCCACTCTACAGACTCCTGTCAAAAACTCATTCAACTGCCTGCTGGATTTAGACATGGATTTCAGAAGAGGAACCAAAATGAGTATTGGAAGTAGGTGCAGAATAAAATTAGAAATTGAATAGATGCTCAGAAATTAAAAAAAAAAAAAAAATCATACAGCATTTTCTGAAAGTATTTGAATTATCTTCTGTAAAAAACTGTTTTGAGAAATGGAGGGTTGTAAAGTAAATAATAAAATTACCTTAATATTTCATTAAAGATAAGTAAATGGTGGAGAAGCATTCAATATATATCATTAGTAGTATTGCTTGTTAACAATAATAAACCTACACTATACTATGTCGCCTCTGGCTTGCTTAGTTGGGGACACTTCATTTCCAGCGATACCGTTGACTTGATTGCAAAGATACTATTTAAACTGAGCTGGATGTTGACATCACTGAATTCAATGATGAACTGTCTTTAACTGAAAAATTTGTGTTTACTATTGTCATTTTGCATTATTGACACTATTTTCTTAATTAATGCTGTTCAGTTGCTTTGACACAATCTGTATTGTTAAACACCCAGTTGTCACTGATCTTATGGATACTCATACAGTAATAATCTCCTGCATCTTCAAGCTGGGCATCACTGATGGTCAGACTAAAGTCAAGACCGTTTCCTTGTCCACTGCCACTGAATCTTGATGGAATTCCTGAGTTTTTTTCATTTGTATAATAAACCAAGAGTCTGGGAGCCTCTTCAGGCTTTTGGCTGTACCAAGATACATAATAACGCCCTTTAGAGACACTGCCTTGCTCATTTTTGTAAACCACAGTATCAACTTTACAGTCAATAGAGATGGTTTGACCAGGCAGGACTGATTTAACCTCAGACTGAGTCACAACTATTTGTCCAAAACAACCTGTGTAGAACAATTGATAACAGCACAGGTTATTATAATATATCATTTTAAATACAATATGTATTTAAAAGATCACATGTAACAATAATGGCGTTTACCTTGCATGCTGTAGAGTGTCCAAATGATAAAAGAGAACAAAGTCATGTTGGCTGTAAGATCTGCTGTCATGAACAGAAGCTCAGTGAAAAAGTTCAACAGACCTATAAACATTTTCAGATCACTGTCGCTGTCTATGCAAAGCACCATATATGACCAGAAGTTTCTAAAATCTGTTCCTTATTTTACAATTATCCAACTGGAGGCTGGACTGGAGAGCCAAACTAAGTGCTGGAAGGCAGAATCTGAAAAGAATGGAAATAATTAACAATAATTATACAAGTGTTATACTGTATATTTTTATGATAATATTCTTTTGTGTAAGTAATGATACACACACACACACACACACACACACACACACACACACACACACACACACACAGATAAATACTTTTTTTTTAAACTTGTAACTTCTTTAAATCAGCATTATTTGTGTGAGATTCACAAGACACTTTAAACTGGCTGATTACATTTATTCCATTAAAAAGACCTGAGAAATGTGAAAACTAAGATTAGTTGCACTTAAAAAATGAATAAATGAATTTATTTATTTATTTATTTCAGAAATTACCATCAGAATTATTACTAATTTTTTTGTTTGGATTATAAATATTAGAAACTTATTTGTTGCTAGTACTTCTATTAAAAAATGTCACTTAATACTGTGTAACTACATTTTTAGAGAATATCGTGTTATTTTTAAGCTCTTTCGTATCTCTCTTTTTTTTTTGCCTTATGTGACATGACTACAAGCATGTATACTTACGTCTTCTAAACAGGTTCAAAATAATTAGTTTACCTTAATGACCTTTTTATCTATTTGAGTGGTAAATAAAAATATATGTTTTTATATTTTATAGATAATTTTTATGTACTTCACAAGAAATGGAAGTATGTCTAACTACTGTTTCAGATGCATTAATTCTGCATTAATTCAATCTCAGTATTATGGAAGCCCGTTCCCGCCACAATTGAGAAAAAATATGATTCTGTAAGTCATAATAATGAGAAACTTTCTCATAATTATGACTTAGTATCTCGTTATATTGAGAAACTTTCTCGTAATAATGAGAACATTTCTCGTAATAATGACTTAGTTTCTCATAATAATGAGAAACATTCTCGAAATAATGACTTAAAGGTGACATATCATGAAAATCTGACTTTTCCAGGTTTTAAGTGCTATAATTAGGTCCCCGGTGCATCTACCAACCAAGGAAAGGTGAAATAGATTAACCCCATTTGCATTTAAAGAGACAGGCACGAAAAACAGCGTGTTTCTTCATTTTCAAAATGATATTATAAATGATCTGTGGGATATTTTGAGCTGAAACTTCACAGACACATTCTGGGGACACCAGAGACTTATATTACATATTGTAAAAAGGGGCATAATATGTCTCCTTTAATCCACGCATGCGTAACGCAAGAGTGACGGCACGCTAGCGCCATCTGTTGGTCAAAGCCATGCAGGAACACCGCAAACATTGCTTTGTTCTGTAATCTAAAGTGTATAATGATATAATCTGTCATTAAATAACTATTTCAGATAAATGATCTGCATGTAGTCTTTTAAGTTGTAGCATTTACCAAGTTACTCTGCCAGATAGTTATGGCTTCAAACATTGCTGACTAATATTTCAGTTAAGAAATCCAGGCATTTTATGAAGAAATTAAAACCATTACACATATAAACTTAATTTATAGATGTTTATTTCGATGATTTATTCGTTTTATTAGCTGTCCCTGTCATGCATCACATGCATGCAATGTTCATACAGTAAGCCATCTCATTTCAAAAGCACAAAGCATCGTTGTTCGTTACCACGGCAACCACTTGGTCTTCAGCGTCCCGCTTCTTGCAGGACAAACGCTTATCGTGAAAAAAGCTTAACGTGGCTTGAAGTACAAAGACAGATTGAACCACATCAGTACACAACTTAATGATCATGCATATTGTATAAACAGGCATTCAGGTGGACCCAAAATATGAATGCAACACAAAACAGCAACGCTTATTACGAGATGTTAAGTCATTATTTTGAGAAAGTTTCTCATTATTTCGACAAAGTTTCTCATTATTATGAAAAAATAAGTCATTATTTTGATAAAACAAGTAATTATTTTGAGAGTTTCTCGTTATTACGAGATGTTAAGTCATTATTACGAGAAAGTTTCTCAATATTATGAGAAAATAAGTCGCAGGAAAATAACCATTTTAGTAACAATGTAGCATTAAAATATTTTTATAGTGGCTAATTCCACTCCTACCTAGAAACCTAAATATTTCTGTACAGTATAAGAAAAACATGACAGACAGATAAATGCAATTACAATCATTTATTTATTGCAAAAATGTCAAAAGCAGTACCAAAAAGTAATCCAAATAATGATGCGTTGCACCCACAGTCCTCTCTGGCAGATTACAGTAGGTTTGTGTGATCCAGAGCAGAATTTATGTTGTTAATCGCTGAAAATATTATCCAGATAATTTTCCCGGATCCACTCCGTGAACTCGTGAAGGCACGCGCATCATTCAAACACACCTCACCAGAAACACGGCATGTCGCAATCTGTGACGAATGCAGGCGAGAGCCAATGAGCGTTCGATTATCCTGCCGTAAAACCTGTCGTTTGAAGCGGCAACATTTGAATTTGTAAAGAGCACGTCGGTCAGCGCGGGCTGAGGGAGGTTTTTGTACGATGCTGTTTCACTGTGTGCACACTCCACCACTATAATACCCCATACAGTAATAAACTCCTGCATCCTCAAGCTGGACTCCACGTATGTTCAGTGTAAATTCATATCCAGAATAAGTTCCACTGAACCGGTCTGAAACTCCAGATGCAAGATTGCTGGCATCGTAGATCAGGAGTTTAGGAGCTTCTCCAGGTTTCTGCAGATACCAGCTCATGTCATCACCAACTCCGCTGGTCCCAGTGCAGCTGATAGAGACAGAATCTTCTGCTTTAACAGACAGAGACTCAGGAGACTGAACCTCTTCATGAGACACTGAGGGAGACAACAAAAACAAATATTACAATACTTCAAAATACAAAGACAAGTTTTCATCTGCTATAAAACAGTCAATCTAAATATAATAAAACTAAAAAGAAAGCACAAATTAAAATATTATAAAATAAATTCCAAACAATTAATTCCATAATGTAGAAAATATATTTTTGAACCTTGACAGAGCAGACAGAGTGTCCCCAGCATTAGAATAAGAGAAATCATTGTTTCCTATGTATGTATGTAAGTGTTACACACTAATAATCATCAGTGGAGTTTTAAGCACAGTGTTCAGTTAATATGCAAAACACTTTCCAAAACACATTCAGATGCATCCTGGAATTTACCTCAAAAACTTTCAAAACACATTTTGCAGCATTTAATTAACATTAATGCAATAAAAATGTTTGACCTAAGCAAAACTAACCTAAGATACAGTGTTTTATTGTGAGCGTTAGTGTTTATGTCAGTGTCAGTTTTAGTGCAGGAGGTTTTTGTACAGCCTCTAATTGGGTTTGTATCACTGGGGCGCTCGTTCGGTGGAGGCACCCGACTCTCAGTTGGAAGTTAGTAAATCTCTTTCTATTTCTATTATTTCTGTTTCGATTTCTATTAATTCATTAGTTAGTAATAATAATAATAAGAAGAAGAAGAACAGACCAATAGAAGAAGAGTAACTAAAATTAAAAAATAGGCTATCCTCAGACATTTTTTTTTTGCCTTGTGTAACAGCATATAGGCCTACTTCTAAATGGGTTGAAATTAGTTAGTTTACCTTTTTATCTATTTGAGTGGTAAATAAAATATATGCATTTTATAGATTAGGTTTATGCACTTCACGTGAAATAGAAATATGTCTAACTACGGTTTCAGATGTCAGTTACTATATAAGTACTGTAAAATGGGGCAATAAACATGTAATTATGAACTGAAAATAAATGTCTTTCATTTTTTACATTTTTCATGAGGAGGAAAAAAAGGGACATTATTTAATGCATAGAGGAACAAAATAAAACACGATAGTGTGGGGATCCCCTCTGCCTATCAAACAGCCAAACATAAAAAGAGATTTTTCTAAGAGAATACACAAACAGTTCAGTTGCTAAGGGAACGAGGTTCCCTGTATGTATCCTATAGTATTGCCATAGTGCTGCATCGAATACACGTCAAGGTCTGAATATATTGTTCAGAATATAAACCTGAAAGGTAAATATAAATCCAATAAATGTAAGTCTCATATAGTCATACATCTTGATTTTTATGAACACTGAATATATGAATATGAATATTACTAATGTGTTTTTACAGGCTGTTGAACTTCAGATCTGCTTCACAACTTCGAATTCAACATTAAAATAAATAATGTGTTGTTTCAAAATTAAGCGTTTGCTCTACTTAAAATAATGAGTTTATTTTGGTTAAGCTGGATATTTAATGCATCTCAAAAATCTTAAGTTGATATATCTAATTGCAGCATTATTTTACAGTGTTGATTAAGTTTTTTTAATTACTTTTTTCATTGAATGTCACATGAGACAAATATGTTTTCTTCTGGTGTAGTTTTCAAACTACAAGCAGCTATATCTAATACAGTAGGTTTTTAACAAATAATTGAGCAATAACATGAATATATGTTGACAGAAACCATATAATATAACATTATCTATAATGAACAAATTATAAAGTATGTTTGATTGCTGGTAAAATGTGTATTTTACGGACTATTGCACTTCAGATCTGCTTGATTAACTCTGAATCTCTTAAAGGGAAGTGAAAGACACTCAGAAAGACTGATAGAGCTGTTTTTCAGAAGAATGAAACATCACAGTTTCCATCTGTGTCTCTCTTTAGCTGCGGCTCGTCCCGCTCTCACAGTGCTGCCTCCCTCCAGAGACGAGCTGCAGCAGGGTAAGGCTACAGTGCTGTGTGTGGCCAGTAAGGGATTCCCCTCTGACTGGAAGCTGAGCTGGAAGGTGGACGGCAGCAGCAGGAGCTCTGGTGTCAATCTGAGTCCCAGTCAGCTGCAGAAGGATGGACTGTACAGCTGGAGCAGCAGCCTGAGCCTCACTGAGAGTGAGTGGAGCAGAGCAACAACCGTCAGCTGTGACGCCACGCACCCGTCCCACAATGCAGTCACCAAGAGCCTCAACACACAGCAGTGTGATGATGACCAGTGGAAAAACTCACACACACATACTGCTGTTAGTATGCTATTTCATGCTGTTAGTTTATTGCTTATATATTCTTATCTTTTGTAATTCTACAACTGCAATGCTCTGAAAGTTGTGTTGCTAATTTAATTCTTGCTGCCAAATAAAAGCATTTTGTTACAAATATGGTGTTGAATTTTGTGAACCTTTAAATAAAAAACACCTAAAATATAAAATAACGCTTTTATTGTTTTTGTTTTTTTTTAGGTTGTGTGATATTGTGATGAGCAGCATGGATAAGTAGAGAATATTTTAATATTGAAAATATCAATTACAGTAAAAGAGATATTTATGATAAAATATTTTAGCTACATTTAATTAATGAAGTTCATAGTTACTGCCTGAGTACATTCATTGTGTCATCTGACTGAGGGAGGTTTTTGTACAATGCTGTTTCACTGTGTAAACACTGGACCAACATAAACCCCCATAGAGTAATAATCTCCTACATCCTCAATCTGGATTCCATGCAGGGGCGTACTGGGGCTAAAAAGAGGCCCAGGACTTTCTGGCACAGAGCGGCCCACCACACCCAGTCCGCAACACATCACACCATAAACCCACCAGCTCATTATGCACAGAGCAATTTTTAACACCACTTACAAACATAAAAATATAACACAATACAGAAATAAAATGCTATCTATTTTTTTTAATTGAAATTCTTATTAAAGGGGTCATATGATGCTTTTTTAAAGATCATTATTCTGTACGATCTATCCGACATGACTTGAACGCACCATAAGAACCATTTTGATAACTCATTTGATCGATTCATTAAAAAGTGAGTTGTTCATTTGCGAATCAGGTAGCCTACCGCTGGTTCTTACTTCTTAGTCTAAACGTACGACATATTGTTAATATTGTTGTCACAGAAAAACGTTACTTTAAGCCATTGTCAACTATGTAGCCCTTAATACTGAGCTCAATGACGGTGAGAGTGACATATGTTCTTTGACTATGATTTTGTAGCCTATATGAATAGGCTTAAAATGGGTAAACTTGCACTCTTCCCATTTTCTTGCTAATTATAAATTATAATTATTATTATGAATACAACATACATAAATATCTGTTGTAATGACCAACAACTGTCGGTTAAACTCACCGTTCTGTGATTTAAAAACATTGTCCATATGTTGCTTATGCAAAACTCGAGCTCTTCACAGCCGAATGGAGTCCAGGAGTTGACACATCACTGAACAGGTTTCATTGAGGTCACGTGCTTCTAATTTGTGTGTTCTAGTAGCCTCAGAATCCAGTAGAGGGCAGTAAAACATTACACGTTGCTTTCTTTGAGTTTGGTTTTATTGGCCATTGGACAGTGTTGATACACAAATTTGATTTTCATAATAATAATAATAATAAAATTAAATGGATGAAATAAGCATACTAAGGGTAAATACTGTTTTATAATTGATCTGGATTTATTTGATATTGTTTGTTTCAGGTTCATTTTACTGTGAAAAACCAGAATTACAAATCTTAATTTAAAAAATAATAAAATATTTTACTATGATTTGTAATTTTGTTATTGTGTCCTATTCCTTAGATTTTTATTTGCATAATCTATTCAGATTGACTGATATACTGGGGGAATACACTTCCCTTTTAAGTTGTAGGCCTACTGTTTTCAAGGGTTGGTGTAATTCTTGCTTAGCTACGCATATCAATAGCCCACATCTTTTATATGAAAGTTGACTTGGAGGAGAGGTTTCGGTCACTTATACTGAACTTAAATATGATATGGATAAATGGTAACACTTAGATTACAGAGACAACTGAACATTTATCAGTTTGTTTTTCTAAGATTTTTCTAATTAAAATAAGCTTTTTCTGCTTCTCTGCTTTGTGTGAAGCATATGAGTACAATTGATTTGTATGATAGTAATTAGATATGCAATGTGAAAAGCAGGATTTCCACTGATGATTTTCATATGGAAGATTGTGTAATTAATTAGATTTAAAAAATAAATAAAAATAAACAGTAACTCATTGCAAACCCCTTTTTTTGTTCTCCTGTCAGCAGGTCTCAGAAGCATCTGCAGAAGATTGTCAGTGGGGAGGTTTTTGTACGGCATGTTTTCACTGTGTGAATACCCAATTGTCACTGATCTTATGGATACTCATACAGTAATAATCTCCTGCATCTTCAAGCTGGGCATCGTTTATAGTCAGAGTGAAATCAAGACCATTCCCTCCAGAGTGAAAACTGCCTCCACCGCTCATTCTAGATGGAGCACTTGAAGGCTTCATTGTTGTATAATATATGAGGAGTTTAGGGGGTTCATTTGGCCTCTGAAGATACCAGGAGATGTAATAATCTTTAGATGTTGTGCCTGTTGGAAGCCTATAAACTGCAGTGTTGACCTTACAATCAATGGAGACTGTTTGACCGAGCTGAACTGATTCAACCTCAGACTGAGTCACAACAACCTGCCCAAAAGAACCTGTGAGAGACAGAAAACTGAATTAAAATACTTATAAGTGCATAAGAAAAAAATTATTTCAGTATGATTTGAAAATAAATTACCTTGGATGCTGTAAAATGCCCAGATAAAGAGAATCATATTGGCTTGTGATTTAGAGCTATTCTAGGACCTTTTCAAAGTTTTGACAGGACTATAAACACTCAGAGCACTGAGGCATGAGCTGCCAATGCAAAACATTTTTACGGTGGAAAAACCCTTCCTTAACTGAAGTATCTTCTCACTCATATGACAATTAGCTTTGTAATATATACATATTTGTATTATAGGTTAATCATATAGTTTGATTAAAACTTGTCTGGTTATCTCAAAAAAGTCTTGAGGTTTTTTGCAGTGAATGAGAATGAATTATTGTGGTGGATTTTTGTTGGAGGAACCAACCTGAATGTTAAAAGTAAGTGCAGAATGAAATAAGGTGGATAAACAGTAACGAAATGTGGACCTGAATAGATCAGGTAGCAATGTAGCATATTTAGATTATTATTATTGTTTTGATTTCATACTGACTGCACTGATAAGTAATACAAGATTGTAAATTAGACTATATAATAAAAAAGATATAAAGGATAAATAAAATTTTATCGCCTAAATATTATTTTGCATGAAAGTATAGGTGCTTTTTTTGTTCTTGAGAGTGCAGTAGTGTTTGTATTAGCATTATTCTTAGTAATAGAATTCTATAGTATTTTATATTTTTTTCTAGTAGTAGATTTGGGACATTATTAAAATTAAACAGGTTTGATTATGCAGCTTTATCTTACTATCAGTTGTGAATAGCAAACTGGTTAGTGTCAGTGTCAGTTTTAGTGCAGGAGGTTTTTGTACAGCTGTTGATTGGGTTTGTATCCCTGTGGCGCACGTTCGGTGGAGGCACTCGTCTCTCAGTTGGAAGTAAGTAAATATATTTCTATTTCTATTATTTCTATTTCTATTTCTATTAATTAATTGGTTAGTAATAATAAAATAAAAAATAGGCATCCTCAGAAATTGTTTTTGCCTTGTGTGACTGCATATACTTGTGTCTTCTAAACGGGTTCAAATTAATTTACCTTTTTATCTGTTTGAGTGGAAAAAAATATATATGCATTTTATAAATTATGTTTATGTACTTCATGTGAAATTGAAATATGTCTAACTACTGTCAGATGTCAGTTACTATATAAGTACTGTAAAATGGGGCATTAAACACATAAAAATTAGTATTGTTAATGATCAAAATTGACCATGAATCTGAATGCGTAATTACGAATGAGAATAATGACAATAAATTTCTTTCATTTTTATGTTTTTCATGAGGAGAAAAAAGGGACATTGTTTAATGTATAGAGGAACAAAATAAAACATCTAAATTTTAGGTGAAATACATAAATAATACAGAATTATTTTATTTTTAATGTCTGAATATATTGTTCAGAATATAAACCTGAAAGGTAGATATAAATCCAATATATAAATTTGTTTCATTTAGTCATAAATCTTTTTTTTTTGTATGAACACCGAATATATTAATATGAATACTGATACTAATGTGCTTTTACAGACTTTTGAACTTCAGATCTGCTTCACAACTTCAAATTCAACAAATATGTTTCTAAATTAAGCGTTCATGTTTTACTTAAAATTATAAGTTTAGTTTGGTTAAGTTGGATATTTATGTTATCTCAAAAAACATTAAGTTGATATAACTACCTACAGCATTATTTTACAGTATTCATTTATTTTTTTATTACTTTTTTTTAATTGAAATGTCACATGAGACAGAAATTTATTTTCTTCTGGTGTAGTTTTCAAACTACAAGTAGCTATATCTGTAAGTAATACAGTAAGTTTTTAACAAATAATTTAACAATAATTTGAATAAGATGACAGAAACCATATAATATAACATTATATAATTAATAAATTGTTTTAAATGTAAAGATTATGTGTGATTGCTGGTAAAATGTGTGTTTTTATGGACTGTTGCACTTCAGATCTGCTCGATTAACTCTGAATCTCTTAAAGGGAAGTGAAAGACACTCAGAAAGACTGATAGAGCTGTTTTTCAGAAGAATGAAACATCACAGTTTCCATCTGTGTCTCTCTTTAGCTGCGGCTCGTCCCGCTCTCACAGTGCTGCCTCCCTCCAGAGACGAGCTGCAGCAGGGTAAGGCTACAGTGCTGTGTGTGGCCAGTAAGGGATTCCCCTCTGACTGGAAGCTGAGCTGGAAGGTGGACGGCAGCAGCAGGAGCTCTGGTGTCAATCTGAGTCCCAGTCAGCTGCAGAAGGATGGACTGTACAGCTGGAGCAGCAGCCTGAGCCTCACTGAGAGTGAGTGGAGCAGAGCAACAACCGTCAGCTGTGACGCCACGCACCCGTCCCACAATGCAGTCACCAAGAGCCTCAACACACAGCAGTGCAATGACCAGTGAAATACATACTCTGACATAGATTATAGGCATGCATAATCACTCATTTATATTCAAACAACCACACATACACAGCCTTACTAATGGACAAACAAGACTGTGTACCAATTTACTCTTTATGTTAATCTTTCTTTAAGCCTGCTTTAACACTTATGATCAATTTTTAATAAAAGCATGTTATTTTAAATAAAAGCAAATAAAAGCTCTTTGAATCGTTAATTGTGTATTGTTATTTTGTCCTTATTTAATATCTTTTACCATAGTATTTAATTATTTTTTTATTTTCCTTTCATTAGTTTACATGCTTTTATCAGTCACATGAATGGAATTGAACATCAGCATCACAAGCAAATAAACAGCTTATAGATTTCATTTTAAATATAGCAGGGAAAACCTGTTGTGGTTGTTAACAAATACAAAATAAAACAAAATATGGATTCTGGCTTATTTCACACTGAACTGGAGTATTCATGTTGTTAGTTAAAGCATGAATTTAAGAAGTTGCTTTGGCCATGGTGAGTTTGCTTTCATCAAGGTTGGATGGATTTTATTGGATTGTAGTTCATGTGGAAACTTGATTGAGACATTCTGGAGTTTATTATTGATTCAGCAGCCTTCTGTGTATGTGTGTTTGTAAGTCAGTGAGGTGAATAATGATCTTCAACATCAACATCTGCAGAAGCTCAAAGCTGCAGCGCTGCTGTATCACCCAGTGAGGTTTTTGTATGATGATTTTACACTGTGTGAACACCCAATCTGTGGTGCCAGAGACTCCCTTGTTATATACACCTTGACAGTAATAAACTCCTGAATCTTCAGGCTGGATTCCATTGATGGTCAGAGTAAAATCCATGTGGTTTCCACTTTCACTGCCACTAAATCTAGAAGAAACACCTGAAGCTCTGTCTGATGTGTAATAGATCAGGAGTTTAGGAGCTTCTCCAGGAATCTGATGGTACCAGGACAAGCAATACTGAGAGGTATCTTTTTTAATACAGTTTACTGCTGGTTTATGATTACACTGAATAGTGACAGTCTGATCAGGCTTCACTGTTTGATCTTCAGATTGAGTCACAATCTGCCCCACAGAACCTGAAGAGAGACACAGAAAACACTGTAAAATAATATAAAACTGATGAGCACATTTAAAATCTCACACTTACTAGTAATCTGCCAGGTTGAGCACACAATGTTTCTAACTGTTGCACTAAAAGGACTAAGCATTCTTTCCCATTTAATGGATCATAATGACAATGAAGGACTTGACTTGAAGATCAAAACGTAGTTAAAGGTCAGTGTTAATTTAATTTGTACTGCACATGCTTGGGTAAAATGGCAAAAAATAAGAATTTTTAAGTTAATTAATGCATATATTTGCAGGAAATTAAGTCTAAATCTTGATCTCAGCACCTGAGAATCTGTGGATTGCTTATTTTCTAGTTTTCTGTAAATCAGCTGATGATATGAATTTCTATAGGCATTTACTTACTCCAGGTGCAGGTGGTGAGTGTCCAAATAATGACGGTTATCAAAGTCATGTTTGCTTTAGGATCTGTTATCAAGAAGGAGAGCTGTCGGTCATAAAATCATTAAGTCACAGATCTATAAAGACCTTCAGAGCACTGTAGCATGAAGTTTAATGCAAAGTGTCTTCACAATGTAAATGTTCTTTCTGAGAACAACAACCTCTCGTACTGTCAAGAAACAAATTTCAATTGTTAATCTAGCTGAGCAGGTATTTTTGATTTAATGATTCCTTAAAGACAGACCATTTTTGTCTCTTACCAGGACTGTAACTTGCAGAAAGATTCAGCATTCTTATCAACCTATAATTTCCCTATTATTTGTGCTGAAGTTTATGACAAGAGTTTCTTTAGCACACACAATGAATGTTCCAGAACTAACAAATGATGTTCATCCAGGAACAGATGTTGATCATGATGTCTGACTTCACATACCATTTAAATACCAACAATTCTACAAAATTAAATGAAAACTGTTACATGTTTGATCATTGCTTTTATCATATATATTATGAAATAAAGCAGGGGTGCCCAATCCTGTTCCTGGAGACCTACCTTCCTTCAAAGTTCATTTCCAACCCTGATGAAACCAACTAATTAGGATCTGAAGGAGCACTTGATAATTACAGACAGGTGTGTTTGATCAGGGTTGGAACTGAACTCTGCAGGTAGGTGATCTCCAGGAACAGGATTGGGCACCACTGAAATAAAGTATAATGTACATGTTGTGGTTGTGAGGAGCATGACATACTCACATTTTAAAATTGAAAATATAATTAAAAAGAGAATTATGGCAGCGACTTTCCGTCCATACAAGCTGCGAATGCTCCGCATACCCAGGCCATTTGAGAGAATAAGTTCACGGGATAATTAATATAAACATGATTATAAGTTGATCCCTTGTCATTTGAAATGTGACTTAAAGCTTAAAGAGTTAGGGATAAGAGTCACAATCTGCCCCACAGAACCTGAAGAGAGACACAGAAAACACTGTAAAATAATATAAAACTGATGAGCACATTTAAAATCTCACACTTACTAGTAATCTGCCAGGTTGAGCACACAATGTTTCTAACTGTTGCACTAAAAGGACTAAGCATTCTTTCCCATTTAATGGATCATAATGACAATGAAGGACTTGACTTGAAGATCAAAACGTAGTTAAAGGTCAGTGTTAATTTAATTTGTACTGCACATGCTTGGGTAAAATGGCAAAAAATAAGAATTTTTAAGTTAATTAATGCATATATTTGCAGGAAATTAAGTCTAAATCTTGATCTCAGCACCTGAGAATCTGTGGATTGCTTATTTTCTAGTTTTCTGTAAATCAGCTGATGATATGAATTTCTATAGGCATTTACTTACTCCAGGTGCAGGTGGTGAGTGTCCAAATAATGACGGTTATCAAAGTCATGTTTGCTTTAGGATCTGTTATCAAGAAGGAGAGCTGTCGGTCATAAAATCATTAAGTCACAGATCTATAAAGACCTTCAGAGCACTGTAGCATGAAGTTTAATGCAAAGTGTCTTCACAATGTAAATGTTCTTTCTGAGAACAACAACCTCTCGTACTGTCAAGAAACAAATTTCAATTGTTAATCTAGCTGAGCAGGTATTTTTGATTTAATGATTCCTTAAAGACAGACCATTTTTGTCTCTTACCAGGACTGTAACTTGCAGAAAGATTCAGCATTCTTATCAACCTATAATTTCCCTATTATTTGTGCTGAAGTTTATGACAAGAGTTTCTTTAGCACACACAATGAATGTTCCAGAACTAACAAATGATGTTCATCCAGGAACAGATGTTGATCATGATGTCTGACTTCACATACCATTTAAATACCAACAATTCTACAAAATTAAATGAAAACTGTTACATGTTTGATCATTGCTTTTATCATATATATTATGAAATAAAGCAGGGGTGCCCAATCCTGTTCCTGGAGACCTACCTTCCTTCAAAGTTCATTTCCAACCCTGATGAAACCAACTAATTAGGATCTGAAGGAGCACTTGATAATTACAGACAGGTGTGTTTGATCAGGGTTGGAACTGAACTCTGCAGGTAGGTGATCTCCAGGAACAGGATTGGGCACCACTGAAATAAAGTATAATGTACATGTTGTGGTTGTGAGGAGCATGACATACTCACATTTTAAAATTGAAAATATAATTAAAAAGAGAATTATGGCAGCGACTTTCCGTCCATACAAGCTGCGAATGCTCCGCATACCCAGGCCATTTGAGAGAATAAGTTCACGGGATAATTAATATAAACATGATTATAAGTTGATCCCTTGTCATTTGAAATGTGACTTAAAGCTTAAAGAGTTAGGGATAAGTACATAAAATGATTTATTTGCCAAACGGGAGTAATTTTCTGTGAATCTAGGGGCAAGTTCAAGCTCAAACCGGTGTGCACCGTTTTGCTACGGTTTCCGGTTTGAATGACATGTTTCCTGGAAACGGTGTGCAACGGGGTTTGAGATGCGTTTTCTCTTGTTTGGTGGGTGTGTCAAACATGTCAGCCCAATCAGCAGCAACATGTATGTAAGCCACGCGGTATTAAAGAGACAGCTGGCACAATGTAATTAACATCCAAATAAATTCACAAGAGCAAGTATATTGTTTGCACATGTTTATTTACATTAAAGGCAAAATAACTAAAATAATAAGAGCACAAGTATAGATCTGGAACTTCTTTAAGTCTGTCTAAATATCATTTAGTAATTGCAATGTCTTCTATTGTGTGCTAAATACTGATTAATGTTACATAAAAATACTATACATATTTATATATTTTGCTATTGTATTATGGAGTGACACTTTCATAAA